CATCCATGACTTCTTGTCCTGCCCTCAGGTACTTTGGAGAATAAAATTTTCTTCTCTGTGACAGCCTGTCAAGTACTAGAAGACTATCACCCTCAATCCTTCTCGTTGTTAGACTAGGCATACCTAATTACCTAGTACTAGTAATAGCTTTGTTCCCTATGCCATCCATCTGGTAAACTCGCAAGATTCGTTTTTCTCGCCATGCACATGTATACATAACCCGAACTAGACTGTTGTTTCTCTGTGTCATATAATATATGTGGGTATATGCATAATTCTATATTTATTTATTTATTTATATCATATTTATGTAGTGTATATCAGAGGTGGTGACCTTTGAAAGCTGTATGCAACAAAATTTCATTTTAATATATGCCGATTAGTGTACATTCAAAGTGAAAATAAACATTATTCTATTCTATTCTCTTATGTTCTGTTCTATTCTATTCTATTCTACTCTACTCTACTCTACTCTACTCTACTCTACTCTATTCTATTCTATTCTACTCTATATTTCTCTCAATGTTCATCATAACCACGATTAACCGTAAACTGAACGGATGATTAATTGATTGATTGATTAGATACTATCAAGTCAGTATTGATTCTTAGCAACCACAAATATAGACTTTTTCTAGAATAGACTTTTAGGTCTCTCAGCAGTATATTCGTTGCTGTTGTAATCAGTCCATCTACTTCCTTCAACTTTGCCATCAGTCCATCTACTTCCTTCAACTTTCTCAAGTATTATGTACTTCTCAAGGGAGCTGGATATTTGCATACAGTGTCCAAAATATAATTATTTGAGTCTGGTCCTTTGAGTCCTTTGTGAGGACCATGATGGTTTTATTTTATCATTCAACTGCATGTTTTCCCAACTGCCTATGGTACTCTCTATTTTTATAACACCAAAATCCAAAAGGATCAATACTACTTCCATTCCACTTTTTTAAAATCCAACTTTTGCATCTATAGTAGTGTTTCTCAACCTTGGCAGATGTATGGGCTGAGCACCCAGACTGCAGTCATTAACTGCAAGGATGCTGCAGTGGCCAGAATTCCCAAGGATTGATTGTAACTCCCCCTCATTCCACGCCATCATAATTTCAATCAGTTTTTGAACAACTGGTAATGAATTGAGGATTATCTGTATCATGTTGAATGGCCTCTGACTTGAGGTGCCCATTATCTGGCACTATATCTAGGCAGCATACTAAAAAGCAGAGACATCACCCTGCCAACAAAAGTACATATAGTCCAGGCCATGGTTTTCCCAGTTGCAATGAATGGCTGTGAAAGTTGGACCATAAGAAAGGCTGAGCACCAAAGAATTGAGGCCTTTGAACTATGGTGCTGGAGAAGACTCTTGCGAGTCCCCTGGACTGCAAGGCGTTCAAACTGGTCAGTCTTAGAAGAGATCAACCCTGACTGCTCTTTAAAAGGCCAGTCCTGAAGTTGAAACTCAAGTACTTTGGCCACCTAATGAGAAGGAAAGACTCACTGGAGAAGAGCCTAATGCTGGGAAAGATTGAGGGCAAGAGAAGAAGGGGACGACAGAGAATGAGGTGGCTAGATGGAGTCACTGAAGCAGTAGGTGTGAGCTTAAATGGACTCCAGCAGATGGTAGAGGACAGGAAGACCTGGAGGAATTTGTCCATGGGGTCGCAATGTGTTGGACACGACTTCGCAACTAACAACAACAACAATATTGTCAATCATTTAATAGTGTCTGTCCATGTGATTTTCTTGGTAAAAATACAGGAGTGGTTTAACATCGCCTTCTTCCGCACAATATAAATGGCCTTTTCCATGTCACTAAAGTGATCTGGGATAACCTTCGGGCTTTGGGTGATCCTGTGATTACTATGTATTTAATATTTTTCCTTTCTGTTTTATTACAATTTTGGAGGCTTTCATATGGTCATGTACTAAGTAATTAATAGCAATGTTCTTTTGTTGCTGAAACAACACACGAAAAATAATTGGACAGGATTTCTTTAAAGTGCAGCTTAAGAAAGAATATATAGTATATAGAAACTGGTGGCCACACAGAGGCTCATTTTCATACAAAGCAGGATATGCTCTATTTAATGCAAAGTGAAAACGTTTCACTCTTTTTAGAAGATGAAGCCTATATTTACAGCCTGGATTTCCCTCCTTTCATTTCTAAGGGAGTGGTTATTCAATAAAGGGCTTTGCTTTTTAAATTACACATTCAAGGCATCTAAATTGGCTTGCAAAATTATAGGACATCTTGATTGTTGTGCTGGTGCTCTGTAGATGAAAGATTCAGTTATCTTTAAACCCTTCAGAAAGGTGATTTTAATTATAATTAAACATAGTCAATGAGGGTGCAATGAATTTAAGATTTGTAATGTGTTCTTGTATGTGTAAATAAAACAGAATAAAGAGAAGGAATTTAAATCTGTGTCGAGAATAGTAGCTCTGAGATTACAAGAATATTTGCAGTGTCATATAATATTAAAATGGAAAGCTAAATGAGTAGCCTTAATTAGATCGTGATTCAAAGCACACTTGCCAAGTGAAACAATGGGAATTACTTCAGATCAGCATACAGTACATAGGATTGTTTGGATTTTATAGTATTCTTGTGAGGTGTGTGGGGATATGGGGGTGTGTTATTTCCAATGCACTTTTTGGTTTTTCACTGGCTGTTTTTTTTTTTTAAAAAAGCTTATTTGAAAAAGAAGTGTCAAGCTGCTAAATTTTTATGACCATAACTCCATTCATATGTCTTCAAAAAGTCATCCTTTAAAAAAAAAAAAATTTGCAAGCAATTTATTTTCATTGGGGAAAAGCAAATTGTGTAACGTATTTTCTAAATCATAGGGGCAAAGCTACACATTTATTCTGGCAAATTAATCTTTCTCAGTGTAGCTCTGTTCAGTGTGAGCGAGCTTTCCATGAAGGAGCTGCAGGGAAAATAGGGCTGAAGCGATTGCGGGTAGTCTTCACTTACCAACCACAATTGCTAACTCCGTCACTAAGCAACGTGGTCGGTAAATGAAGCATCACATGACCCACAGCCTTACTTCTCATTCAGTCATTAAACAAGTCATCGTGGTTCTTTGAGACATCACGTGATCACAAGTTGCGATTTGGCTGCCAGCTTCTTCATTGACTCTGCTTGTTGGAAGCCAGTTGTGAAACACACAAATGGTGATTATGTGACCATTGGCTGCTGCAATAAACGTAGATGCCTGCTGGTTGCAAAGCACCCAAATCTTGACTACTTGGATGCAGGAACCCTGCAAGAGTCAAGTGTTGATTGGTCATATTTTTTCAGCACTGTTGTAACTTTGAGCAGTTGCTTAACAGAGCAGTCGCTAAGTCGCTAAACAGGGCAGTCGTTAAGTATACCTTTCAACAAGTTGACTATTGTCAGTGTAGAGCAAAGATTAGGGAAGGAATGGATGAATTGTTGAGGAGAAACAGTAATTCAGTCCTAAGAAAATGAAAAGCATGAGAAACAACTTAAAATAGCTCTGCCTTGATTCTGTTGGGTAAAAGATGGGGCAGATGGAAACTTGGACAGAATTCAAGGTTCTGTTATTGTATCGCTGAACATTTTTGTAGCATTTTTAGATTTTTTTTCCTGATCTTGAAGTGTTTGTTTCCTGACCTTGAATTTCCTGACATTTCCACTCCTTCACAATGGTGTCTAGAAACATTGCCAGTTGATGAATGAGACTAACGTTTTCCATGGGGGTTTCATAGGGAAAGTTAGCTATGAAGACCCCCCCCCCCCCAAAGGAGTGAATACAGATAGTCCTTGACTTACAACAGCTTATTCAAGTTCCACAGGCACTGAAAATGTGACTTATGACTATTCTTCACATTTACGACAACTGCAGCATCTATATGGTCACGTGATCAAAATTCAGACATTTGGCAACTGATTTATATTTATGACGGTTGCAGTGACCCAGGGTCATGTGATCCTCTTTTGTGACCTTCTGACAAGCAAAATCAGTGGGGAAGCCATATTCACTTAAAAACCAGGTTACTAACTTATCAACTGCAATGTTTCACTTAACAACTGAGGCAAGAAAGGTTGTAAAATGGGGCAAAATTCACTTAACAAATGTCTCACTTAACAATAAAAATTTTGGGCTCAATTATGGTTGTAAGTCGACCACTACCTGTGCCAGGTATCTCTAAACAAACAGGCTAATTTTTAAAATGTGTGTAATTTTGGTTTGATCCACTACTCCACACAGACTTTTGTGCTGTAGACTTTTGTGCAAAGCATGCAAGCAAATCAGCATTATATTGATTCAATGACAGTTGAGGATTTTTGACTAGAGAAGTTATACTCCATAGGACATAGCAAAAAAAAAAAAAAAAAAGCGAGTTTTAGATGGCATCCCAAGAGCTGGAAGGTTATCTGAGAAGGAGCCCAGAATCTGTGCAGCAGTGGATAGTTTCAACAACTCTTGTATTTAACCATATAAGTTGCGGCTGAAGGGGATAGTTCTACACATCTGAGATGCAATGCTTCCTTGTTCATTGGTTGTATGCTTGATAGTCAGAACTGTTTGGTACATCTGAAAAAATAAAGATTGAACATTTGGTTGCAAGCTATTGTGTGATTGCCATTTGAGTCCCCTCAAAAATTGGCTGGGCGTCCAGTCTCATTGTGTGGAATGAGTCTTTGTGTATTGTCAAAAAAACCTTGGTGGCATTTCCTTAAGCTCCGCTTTCCAGTCAAAACTTTTCTGGTTAAGATTTTGGCCTTCATTCTCCTTTCCAGCAACTTTACTCTTGTACAGAATTTAAAGCAGGCTGGCCACCACAAATATAATTACAAAAATGAGAATCTTTATTTCTTTACTTCCGCTATTAATTGTAGCTTAAGTATCCACAAAGTCCATGTAAATATGCGCTAGAGTAGGAGCAAATCAAGTGGGATGAAGATGCCTGTTGGCTGCTGCCAAAATTCACCTTTATTAAGCAACTTGTTTCTGCCAACTCATCAGGTCTTAGATTTGGGACGCCTGAAAGAATATGATGAGCCATACATTTTGCTGCAAGAACAGGAGAGCCTGTTTTACAAGATGGTTCAACAACTGGGTAAGGCTGAAGCTCTCTCCATCCTAGAAACAGCCAAACAGGTAAGGCATGTCTCTTTCTCCACTCCCCCCCCCTCCATTTTTCCTCTACAAAATGTTGTAATTAAGTTTGTCTCAATGATTGACTTTCCACACAAGGTAGCATATTCAGGGCTTCAGAAAATCCCATCTTCCCCACTATAGTTAAAGCTTTTGTAGCTTTTCAATTATAAAGCCTTTTTTTCATTCTTTATTACTGGGATTTGGAATAATATATACCCAGAGTGGAAAATCATATGCTCCCATTGCAGAAAAGAGCTATGATTGTGATTGTTTTTGTACTTGTGTAGAAGATGATACACAGTGTGATGCTGGACTCATTTATTTTTCCCACTCAGTAAATCCAGGATTATAGTGAAGCTCCATCAAATTCCCTTGCTTTTGATAAATAAAACTGTAATTTTGTACATGAGTGGAGGAAAATTTTATGAATAAAATCAAATATGATGAATAAATTTCATCATTTGTCTGTGTGTGTGTGTGTGTCTGTGTGTGTAATTGTCTAATTTTAGTTTTAGAAATTTCTTACTACAGGTAGTTCTTGACTTATGATCACAATTGAGCCCAAAATTTATGTTGCTAAGTGAAACATTTGTTAAGTGAGTTTTGCTCCATTTTATGACATTTCTTGCTACAGTTGTTAAATAAATCATTGCAGTTGTTAAGTTAGTGACATGGTTGTTAAGTGAATCTGGCTTCCCCATTGACTTTATTTGTCAGAAGGTGGTAAAAGATGGTCACATCACATGAGCCTGGGACACTGCAACCATCATAAATATGAACCAGATGTCAAACTTCCAAATTTTGATCACATGACTAAAGGAATGCTGCAATGGTTATAAGTGTGAAAAATGGTCTTAAGTTACTTTTTTGAGTGCAGTTGTAACTTTGAATGGATTGTTGTAAGTTGAGGACTACTTGCCCTCTGATGCTATTTGTGCCATGAGCAAGGCCATAGCCTACCTATTTTTTCTTGTGTCTGATTCTTGGAGAGTGCCTGGATAAGTCCTTGTAATTTTCTTGGCAAGGTTCTTTAGAAATGGTTTGCCATTGTCTCCTTCCTAGGGCTCAGAAAAAGTGACTGGCCCAAGGCCACTTAGCTGATTTCATGCTCAAGGCAGAACTAGAATTCACAGTCTCCTGTTTTCTAGCCTGATGCCTTAATTTTTATATCAAAGTGGCTCTAAATAAACTTTATGACTCTCCAATCATTGGGGCATATGATTTTCAGAGAATGGCTGAAATCATAACAAAAAAAATCAGACACAAGGCGATTATTAGCTTTATTCCTAAGGAGGGAAAAGGAAAGTGCAGGGGTGGAGGTGATGATGATGGTTGCTTAAAAAGACAAATTTAGGAAGCAAAAAGAAAAACACATATTCTTTTGAAGCCCCGCTAACACAACATACAAAATGAAAATAAGACCAATTGATTCTTGAGTATAATGAAGCAAAAACATGTTTCAGAAGCAAGTGTAATCTTATTCAGAATAGAATAAATAAATAAATCAACCATACCTCCATCTTATCTTAACTAAGCCTCAATATCCAATCTATCACTTCAGCTCAGAAAACAGTTTAAGATATCCATAGACTCGTTGGTACTAATTGATGAAGAAACTAAAAGCAATAGCCTCAGCATTGTTACTATTACCATAATGATGATCCATCTGATTCTAATCCAGAAACTCTTTATGACCTTTCCCTGGAGCTGCATAGATAGGAAAAATGGGGACAATGAGGGCCACAAAATTAAGTAATCTTCCTCTAATATGCACTTCTGGAATTGTCAGGAAGGGAAAATCAAATCAAATCCAAAAACCCAGCATAAACTCAGATTGTAAAGAAATCATATATTACTTTCATCCAATGAAGCTGGGGATTAGATCACCATCAATTGTAGAACTTTCCTTAACCTAGAAGTTCCAGACAAGGTCTGATTTTTTTTTTCCTCCAAAATCTGATGTTACCATATTAAGGAACCGGGAAGCATTTATCAATTGCTTCATCTCTTTCTAATTGTATTAATCAATCTAGCTGAGTAAAGAGTACTGAGTTATTCATTTACTCCCTTCAAGCAATTTGATAAGACTAGAAGTTTGATCACTATTCCAGAAAAAGTCCAATAAACAGAGAGCAAATTGAGTATAATTTAAAAATGGAATAATTTGGCTCTTCCAAGAGGAAGAATAGAATAAATATAAATATAAGTATAAAATAAAAATAAAATAAACTATAATAATTTTTCTGGACACGCTGTGAAATTAATAATATTTGAAATACAAACATCTGGGTAGAACAAGAGATGTTTGGTTCCAAGTGCTGGATATTTGAAATAAATTTTCCACTCCCACCAACTTAGATTCCAAACGATTCTATAAAGAAAAGGTTTAAATTTCAAATTCAATAAGAACTTCTTAAAAAAAAACAACTTCAAATTCAATTAATTATTGTCGTCATCAATTTACAGTAAACTTTTAAAGAGTTAGGAATCTCTTTCTCATAAATCAAATATATGAGAAATACAAAAACCTAGTGTTAATATTTCTGAGGGACATACCAGTTCTCAAGGTCTCAGAACATCAAAATAGGTTCTGGATTTAGAGATTCTTAAGAAGGTTTTGCAATTGGACTTACTAATTATTATAGAATAGGGCCTTTGCCTAAAAGAATGGTTCTGGAAATGGCATTTCAGCAATAAATCTTATTGCATTATAGAAATCTAGCAATGAGAATAGTTCTGCCTTCCCTGTAATTCTATCAAGTATAAGATCCTGAAAAAAAACCCTAAAAGTTGGCAAGCTAGATTGAATTTAAATGCAGTCTTTATCATAAAGATGTGGAAAGGTGACTAATAAGAACAGTGAAACCGCATATCATACATGTCTGTCAAATACATGTAAAATTTTTATTAGATCGTCGCCCATCTCTTTACATGAGAAGAACAATTTATTTATAACTTTGCCTGGAGCATCACCCAGTGATATAAATTACAAACAAACACTGCACTGTTTACCAGAAAGCATAAATATTAGGCTTAACTCATGACATACAGTATGTCGGCTATGTGGAAGATAGTGCATTTTATGTGTTTTAAATAAAACTTTTTGACATTCTCTTTTCTGGGAAAAATACATTTTGAAGCCCCTTTTCACCCAAACACATTTTCCGATAAGAGCACACAAGTCTTGACATTATTTCATTTTGTTACCCACATCTGTCAGGGAGCAGAGATATGATACAACTACTAAAAACTGATGATTGTGGAACAGTGAAACTTGACAGGATTTCATTTCCTTTATGTTCTGATTATACATTTATCAGGAAACCTGTATCTCTGGCAGTTCAGCACGAAATTGGTAGAATTCAAGAACTCAAAAGCTCAGCAAAGAACTATTCTATTATTTGGTATCATCTTACATTTTAGAGAAGTTGCTTGCTAGAGCCATTGTTCCTGTTTTGCCTTTCCCTTTCATTATTGTGGCACCCTTTCCCCAGATCATATTTCTATAAAGCTCTGTGACTCTGCCACATTGCAAATTAAATGCTGGGATATTTCATACATCTATCCTGAACTTTCAATGCTTGTCAATCATAGTTTGTAAAATGCAGGGATTACAACCTTGATATTCACATCCAAATCTATTGTGCCTGTTTTTATGTGTGAAAATGAAAAGCCCTTGCGCAGACACTAGATTTTGAAGCAGCTTTGTTACCCTGTTTTTATCTCCATTTCTGAGCCAGTAAAAGGATTTTATTTATCAGTTTAATGTCAAATGATAGTTATCTGTTGATCAGAATTATTAACACTTTTAGTAGGATAACTACCATATATGTTGAAATATGTATGCTTTGCTGAAAATGAAGGCAGGTTTATTATTTTTTAAAAAAAGAAATAAAAGGATTTAAAATATGTATTTACCTTTGATATATATCCTTAAGTGACAGGCTTCAGAATAAGCTACCGTAAATCTAACATACGATATTTTCCTTCTTAGGTTTATTTTAAGAAGAATTATCCAGAAGTTACTCCAAGTGATCAAGCAGTCACCAATCCATCAATATCTGAATCTCAAGGACTAATAATTTTTGAGACTGCTCTATGATCTTATGAAACCATTGGGAGGGGGCAGGTGCTCTTTTCTTGTCCTTTAACAGAATGTAACCCTATCAAAATACAGACAAATCTTCCTGTTCATTCAAACTGTTTTTGCACTGGAATATTAATTGTCACACTGAAGAAAAATAGATTTTTTTAAAAATAGTCCTTGCTCCTTATATTTACATACAATATTGTTCAGATTTTTTTAATAATTGTATTTCTTAAAGTGCCTAATTTTGTGGATTTAGCAAAAAGAAGCTTGCCACACAAAATTTGAAGCCTTGTTCTACGAAGGATAAATTTGCTCAAGAATTCGCAACTTCCTCATTTGTTCTAATAATGCTAGAGCAGAGAAACATTCCACTGTAAGATTCCTGAACATGCTGCTGTTAAATCATTCATGTGCTGTTTTGTACTTATGTCCTTTATATAGTGTGGCTTTGTTATGCAGAGGCAGAGAAATGTATGCATATAGTTATGCAATTAATTTCTGCTTTTGCATCAGTACAACCTTTCACCAGAATCAGCTTCCTGAGTGAGAATCCTTAAAGCCAAATCTGCTGTATTCCAGAAGCTCTCTTTAAAGGAGAAGCAGAATAAATTGTGGTGTTTTAACACCGAACACTACCACCCAAACTCATATAATACTTGTCCTCTGTATTTGATCCCCTCTCTCTACCACGCATTGATAGCCAGTGAGCTGTATTTCATTTAGAGATCAAACATGGAACAGTTCTGTTCTAAAGAAATAACACAATCAGGTACATATTTTTATTCACAACTGTGCTACCCTTGACACATTGAAACCCCTGGTGCTGGACATCTCTTTCTCAAGTGGTGGAAATGTAGTTTTCTAGTTTTGCACATTAAAAACAAGTAGGGAAAAAGCAAGATCATGGTACCTTAAGACAGGATTCCCCAACGTCCGGTCCATGGATTGGCACCGGACTGTGGCATGCCAGAAACTGGACTACACAAACAAGTGAAGCCCCATCTGTGGGATGCAGGCAGCATGCGAAACCACATCCTCTCTGGTGTGTGGAAAATCCTCCCTCCATGGAACCAGTCCCTGGTGCCCACAATGTTGGGGGCATCTGCCTTAAGACCAGTGGTGGGATTCAGCTGGTTCGCACCACTTCAGCAGAACCGGTAGCTATTTTTTTATTGCCCAGGCCCAGAATGGACTTCCAGAAGTGGCATCCACACAGAGAACCAGTTGTTCACATATTTGAATCTCACCACTGCTTAAGACATGTGTATACAGTATGTAAATCCTTAACTCTGTGTGCAATTATGCTTAAATTAGTGCCTTCCAACTTGGCTATTACAAGAAAAGAGTTATTTCCTTCACGGCAATGTTTTACAAATAATATTTTACCTTTAACTGGGAAATAATCTCAGTACCACAAGCTATTTTATATCTGGCAATTTCAATTTTCTAAATTTTAATAGTTGTAATATAGGCAGTAAAATGCTATCAGACGCAAAGCACTGGTGTCAACAGTAGTTCACTTCTACTGGTTGAACGAATACTACTAGAGCAGTGGTTCTCAACCTTCCTAATGCTGTGACCCTTTAATACAGTTCCTCATGTTGTGGTGACCCCCAACCCTAAGGGCTCTCCAAGCGCACCGACACCACCCACTCACCCGCCGGGCCCAGGGCTCAGCGCACCTCGCCTGTCCTCGTCTCACTTCCGAAGGTCGCTGGCCTGCCCGCCTCCAGCTGGCTGGGGAGGGGGGACAGGAAGGCTGCTCCGCTGGCTCTGCCCAGCCTGATTGGAGAAGCGCCCAGGCGGGGAGAGGGAGAGAGAGCAAGAGAGAGAGCCAAGATGGCAACAGCGCCAGCAGAGCTTAGTTCATCCTCCTCCGCAGAAAGGGCCACTAAGCAGCGCAGCCTCCCTTAGGAGATGCTCAACGGAAATGAATCCGATGCTGCAACGGCCCCCAGCTCAAAGCCATGCAGAGACGGATAGAGGAGGGGTGTCTCGGTTCCTAAGACCATCGGAAATATGTGTTTTCCGATGGTTTTAGGCGACCCCTGTGAAAGGGTTGTTCGACACCCAAAGGGGTCGCGACCCACAGGTTGAGAACCGCTGTACTAGAGGATAAATCCCAGCAGAAGAAAAATGTGAAGAAACAAAGAAAGTGTAGCAGTATCTGAATGTAAATCTGGGCAATGCTTCACAAGTATTTCCTTTCAATAGCATTTCTCTTTGTATATTTTGCCAACTGAAATATGTTAAAAGTTCAAGTCCGAATACACTGTCATCAATACACTGTATACATTTATTGTGCCTTACTGAATCTCAAGCCAAATGTATTGAAAATACATTAATTCAAAGCCACCTTGTGAGTTTGCTTTATTTAGAGTGCATTATATACAGCTGCAAGCTATTGCCAATGAACCATTTACACCAATATTCCCCATCCTAGGACCTACTAAATGTTGGGTGCAGATTCCAGCATTTCATTCTATTTTTATAGGGAATCATGGAAGGAGGACACATCTATAGAAAGCAAACAATAAGAATGTGTATAGCAAAAAATAGTTTTTCAACAGACAAAACCACCCTGTGCTATTTTTATAGCATGTAGAATTCTTTAGGGTGAATTCTATATTCTATACACAAATGAAATACAAATTGCACAGACACTAATAATCCAGTACCCTAGAAGAGTACTAAAGTAATAGAGGAGTACTACTACACTGCACTGTTCTTTGGGTCACATCCATTAGAATGATAAGCCAATTTGCAACTAGAGCTATAGGGCAGTGATGATGAACCTTTTAGAGACCGAGTGCCCAAAAAATGGCCTGCCCCCCCCCGGCCCACCCCCACTGTGCCCACCCACAGGGCCACTCATCACAGATCGCCCAGGCAGCTGTGCAGTGCCATGGTGGCCATTCCCTCTGCCCTCCACCCGCAGCGTCATCTGCACATGATGGGGCGTGAGGGCGGAGTCTTGCCCCTGCTGCCTGGATGCCATGTGCTTCGCTGTGCTGTTCCGCGTGGGCCGCGCCTGAGGGAGACTCTCCTCCAGGCAGACTGCTAGTGACAGGGTTGCAGGGGGAGGCGGGGCTGGGGCAACAGTGCATGTGCCCACAGAGAGGGCTCCAAGTGCCGCCTCTGGCACACGTGCCATAGGTTCGCCACCGCTGCTATAGGTCATTTATCTGTTAACTGATAGTTGAGTGTTTGCATTAGGCTAATAAATGGAAGTTTAAAAACTTAAAAACTGGAAGTTTTTAAGAAGAACCTGGACAACCATTTGTCTGAAATGGTATAGGGTTTCCTGCCTGAGCAGGGGGTTGGACTAGAAGACTCCAAGGTCCCTTCCATTATTATTATTATTATTATTGTTGTTGTTGTTGTTTTGTTGTTGTTATCTTTTATTCATTAAACATGAACCTCAGCCAACTGAACATTCAAATTGGCTGGCGCTGATGATTGACATGAGTTGTTGTTGTTGTTGTTATTATTATTATTATTATTATTATTATTATAGTACAGGATCTGAGATTCTTTATCTGCTGGCAAGAAAGATGGGTACTCAGAAAGTTGGGTGTTTAATCACTTCTGCCAGTTGAAGGTAGGCTGGAGTTACAGGTTTTATAAAAATCTCCTTGGATGGTCCTATGGTGTGATACAGCTACAGCTGTAGATTTTATTTTTAATAATTTAATGCAGTGTAGCACAAAAGAGTTTGTATTGCCACTGTATTCAAATTACAAGATTCTGGAGTGTACTTTTTAACTCAAATACTTTTTATTGCTAAGATTTGCATTTTTGTATTGAAGTTCCAATAGAACAGAATACACGTAGGTCAGGGTTGAAGTGTGGAGTGCTTGGTGCATCTCAGCCAAACTCAGAGAATCCCAAGGACTCCACAGTTATATTGAAGATTCATGCTATTTGCAAGAGCTGGAAAACCAGCGTTGGCCATCTTGCTTAAAATAAAATTAATCATCAAAGAGATTGTAGTATTGAAAAACTAACATGTTATATACAGTATGTGGGCTGACTGGATTTGGTGAATTGGAGAGAACTAGTCCATAGAAACCCAACCCCAAAATAAATGCATTAGTCTTTAAGATGTCATAAGATTTTGTACCATGTATTTACAAAGCCATAAAATACTGTCTTTAACAACAAAATGGAATATGCCATGGGCAGGATATATATTGCCCAGCTGTAATCAGATTAACAAATTTATTTAGTTCTCCAGAGGATGTGTGGCTTAATCTGTGATTGATACTTGTGTAAGATATCAGGTCTGCACAGTTTATGATCTGCCAGGAAATATGTAATCTGTTAATTAATCTTCCAGTAAATGAAGAATTATTTATTTGGATCTGGGTCATCTGATGAAAGAGTTATTACTTGATGTTCTTCATAATGTTCTTTCGTTTCTCCGTGCTTATATACATCTTATTTTTGCTTTTTTTTTTCACTTGCTCAGATGAAATTTCAAATGATCTAGTGAGTCTTCCAACTTAATTGTTAGTGGATCACAAGTTGTGGAAATATGAGTTAAACATAGCAAGGAGCACTAAGTTATGTAACCTATTTTGCTGTAATTGAAAATAATAAGACATTACTATAGTCTAGAGAAGATGATAATTATATTTAATCATAATGGTTGGTTGATACTCTTCCTCTTATAAATTTAAGCATCAGTTTCCTTAAATAAAAAATTAATTGAACAGAGAAAATAGAACTCTTAATTTTAGATAATGAAGGCTAATATTTTATTTTATGGAAAAATCCATATGAATATCCATAATTATTAATTTTAATTGCTACTATAAAATTGGAAAAAATATAGGAAGCAAATTGTCAATTCTTTGGGGAGGCTGTTTTTATCTTACTTTATTTGGATCACTTCAGTTTTGCTTTGCAAATATTCACTTAAGATCAGATTTATTAAAGAAGTTATAAATAACTTCATCTGCATATTTTATTAAAAAGTGTATCATTGATAAATAATAACACACCATCTTTGAGACTGTTCCCAAATATTTTTCAGCAATAAGGACATTTGTATGTTGTGGTTTATTGATATTTAATATAAACAGTTGTACTTCAGACTGGTAAATTTGCTACTCCAGGAAGGAAAAAATGGGAGTGATTGCCTTCAGTAACTTTCCTTCTGTCAGAACAGTTAAACTTAACTATATCAGGTTATAAAAATTAGAGTTTTTGGCTTACCTGACTCAATTTGATATTGTAGCCTATAGAATGCTAACAAATATGTAAAGTATCTATGAAAATGCTGAATGTGCTGTTTCAACATGTTTTGACAGGATAATTGTGGCTTTATGCAACTGATACCAATGTAACATACCAAAATTAAAAACATTGAGAGATAAATGGAGACTACCCACAAATGATATTTGTGCTAACAAAATTTCTTAGTGCTTTAAATTTTACATTTTTATTACTTTTTCTTCTTTCTATTTAAGGAATGTGACAGCTATGGCTTAGATCCAAACTTCTGGCTGACAACTGAAGTTGCTGATATTCTTAGTAACTTCATGATATTGTGAAACTTTGTAAGAGGGTTGTGGATCTAGAGCAGGCACGTAATTGGTAACACAAATGTCCACAGTCAAACAGGATGGATTTTAAGGGTTTAGGGGGTTCCTGAGCTTGGTTGTTTTCTTGCAGATGTTTTATTACCCAAATTAGCACTGATGATGTTACCTCCTTTGGGTAAATGAAACCTCTGCAAGATAACAAATCAACAAATTATCTGATCTAGATGAGTTCACATCAACAGGACTCGACAGATTGCATCCCAAAGTTCTGAAGGAACTGGCAGATGTTATTTCAGAACAATTGAATTTTCAAAGATCCTGGAGTACTGGGGAACTACCTGAGGACTGGAAAAGAGCTGATGTGGTTCCCATCTTCAAAAAAAGAGAAAAAACAGATCCAGGAAACTACAGATCAATCAGCCTGACATCAATATTAGGGAAGATCCTGGAAAAGATATCAAGCAACAAATCTGTGAACACTTAGAAGCAAGCAAAGTTTTAACCAGAAGTCAACATGAGTTTATCAAAAACAGATCATGCCAAATAAATCTTATTTCATTCTTTGACAAAGTGACTAAATTAGTGGACCAGCAAAATGCTGTGGACATAGTATATTTGGATTGCAGTAAGGCATTCGATAAAGTAGAACACAACCTATTTCTTGATAAGCTAAAAACAATATGAGATAGATAGCATCACTCCCTGTTGACACTAAGCTGGCAGGAATAGCCAACAGTCCAGATGAAAGGCTTAGGATCCAAATGGATCTTGACAGACTTGAACACTGACCTCTATCCAACAAAATGAAATTTAATGTAGAAAAAAGTAAGGTTTTTATACTTAGGCAGAGAAAACCAAATGTACAAGTACAGATTAAGTGAAACCTGCCTCAAAAGCAGTAACTATGAGAGGGATCTTGGAGTCCTAGTGCACAATCAAGTAAATATGAACTAGCACCTAAAAAAAAGCTAATGCAATGCTTAGTTAAATAAATAGAGAGATAGAGTCAAGATCATGTGAAGTATTAGAACTGGTATATAAAATCTTAGTAAGATTACATCTGGAATACTGCATCCAGTTTTGGTCACCATATTATAAAAAAGATGTTGAGACTTTGGAAAGAGTGCAGAGAAGAGCAACTAAGATGATTAAGGGCCTGGAAACTAAAGCATATGAAGAATAATTGGAGGAATTGCATATGGCTAGTCTTGAGAAAAGAAGAACTAGGTGTGACATGATGGCAGTATTCCAATATTTGAGGGGCTGCCACAAAGAAGTAGGGGGTCAACCTATTTTCCAAAGAATCAGAAGGCAGGACAAGAAACAATGGATGGAAACTAATCAAGGAGAGACGCAACTTAGAATTAAAGAGAAACTTCCTAAAATAAGAGCAATTAACCAGTGGAAAAGCTTGGCTTCAGAAGATGTGGGTTCTTCATCATTAGAGACTTTTATGAAGAGGCTGGACAGCCGCTTGACTGAAATGGCATAGGATCTCCTGCTTGAACAGGAGAAGATCTCAAGGTCCCTTCCAATTCTATTATTCTCTATTCTGTTAAGTTCTTTTAAGGGTGGATTTTGCTTTTGCCAAGCAGGGGTTTGAATCCAATCCAGTGGGTTTTAATAAAAATACCATATGTCAGAATCATCATTACTTTTCAATATTAACCAATAATGGCACATTGTTAGACATAATTAGATAGTATGATTGCTTTAAAAGGATTGCTTACAACTTTGAGAAGTTACTGTTTTATCTCCAATACAGTAAAATTATGTTTCCAAATTTGGTTTAGATTTCTACTTTTC